AAGAAACAAAGAGGTGGTTCCGTCTGCCTGCAAAACACAGATTTCCAAGTCCGCCTCCTTGCCCTCCAGAAATGACCAGACGGGGAATCTCTGAGATTCCCCAACGTCGGATCATTCGGTGTCAGTGGCTCAGTCTAGCCAACAAAATGACCGACGGACGCCAACATGCACTGCGTGTTTAAGAAACCCTCATTGCGGGGTGCCTGGGTGGCTCAGTTGGTTAAGCGACTGCCTTCGGCTCAGGTCATGATCCTGGAGTCCCGGGATCGAGTCCCGCATCGGGCTCCCTGCTCGGCAGGGAGTCTGCTTCTCCCTCTGACCCTCCCCCCTCTCATGTGCTCTCTCTCATTCTCTCTCTCTCAAATAAATAAATAAAATCTTTAAAAAAAAAAAAAAGAAACCCTCATTGCTCTCCATGTTTTCTCTCAGTGTGCGGATGTGGAGGATGATGACTGGGACATATCCTCCATAGAGGAGGAAAGATCTCTGGGGAAGAAAACTGGGAGAGAACAGAGGGAACCTCTACCTGTGAAGAATGAGTCAAATTCTACTCAAGTGCCAAGCGCATGGGGTGCGTCTAATCCGAAGGGGCCAAAAGGAGAAGGTTCGTGGCTTTAGTGTCTTGACACTCAGTCCATTTTCCAGTTATGTGTTTCATCTTTATAAATATCTAATGAAGCTATGTTAATATATCATCAGACAGAAACGCTGTTGGTATAATAAATACCTAACGCTTTCACAAAGCACACGATATAACAAATACCGTGTGCTTTGTGCGCATTTATTCCCCTTTAAAGTCCTTTAATCTGTGTATATTTATTTAATTTGGACCTAGTCTTTAAATTGTAATATTATTTTTGAAAATGCCCATGCAAATATTCTCCTCATGCAGATGCCTCGCAGAAATTAAAATTTCTGCTCTTACAGCTGAATGGGGCCATTCTTCTGGCAGTCTTCCTTCGTTAATCTCTGTACACATTAAATGTTTCTCTTTATTTTCTTTGAAGAAAGATTTCTCTTGCAACATTATAGCCGGTGGGATGAATTACAGATGAAACCCGGAGTTGACATTGTTCCTGGCTGAGTCCTAGGGTCTGGCCAGGTCGTCCAGAAGGGCTTGTCAGTGCCTCTCCCCCCAGCTGCAGCATCCGTCCTCGGGTCTGTGTGGCACCCCGAGTTCCACCACATCTCTCAGTAGTAGGTCAGACTACAGTTTCCAGACTCATCAACTTTAGACACGAACTGTTGATGTCCCGCTAAGACAGATAGGGGTGTGGCTCATTTCCCGCACTCACGACACCTCTCATTGACCCCCGTTGGGTCTTTTTGTGCCCCCATCTGTACTTCAAATTAGTACGTGCAAACCTATCTGTCCTTCCCATTTTCAGCAGGATCTCTCGCCACCTCACTTTGTAAGATGAGCCATTGCTGTCTGCCCTCCAAGTCACCTTTCCTCTCCTCCAGAATGTGAGCCGTGCCTTTACTTCTACATGGTGCCCGCCACTAGGTTATCTGTGCTTCATATTAAAGCCCATCAATCCTAGAAAACCCCTATTTAACATTCAGCTCCTACTTGGCCTATTATACTTTTATTCTCCTTTCTTTACACCTGTCAGTCAGAGTCAGTAACAACAGAACGTTACTGAGCATGGTTGAGGATCCTGGCCCTGTGCTGAATGAAGGGAAGGAGAGATGCCAAGTGGGAGCCTCTAGCCAAGGGCCCCTGATGGTATCCTGGAGATGTGGCCATTTCGTGGTCAGATTGCACTTGTACCTTCCTCCACAGCCTGTGGGAGCTGGGGGCCTGCAGATCAGCCAACAGACCTGGACACTGAGTGATAGGGGATTTTTACAGACTTGTCTCATCGTTGAAGCTCTTCCTCCTTCCGTCTCTCCCTCCACAGGACTTCAAGATGAATCCAGCACGCTGAAAAGCAGCTTAGTAACTGTGACTGATTGGAGCGACTCTTCAGATGTATAACCACAGCCTCAGAGTCAGAAGGTGCAGATGCCAACGGGATTCCAGTAATCTGCCCACAAGATTCTAGCGCTCCTGCCTTACAGTATTTCCCACAGTAACAAGGAAGCTGATTCAGAGAACAAGGGTCTCTTTAACAGCGCCTAATTCAGTATTGAAAAACAAATTGTCAACAGTATTTTGAAGCATATAGAGGGTGTTTAAGACTTCTGCTGCTTAAAATTAATATATCATTTTAAGTCATAAAAAGTTTTTTCTTCAGAACGGTACTCTAGTGTTTAAGTGGATTTTTTCAACTAATTTTTAAGTGCATTTTTTTTAAACTTATAGGTTTTGGTTTGAATTAAAAACTTTTTTTTTTATCTTTCTTATGTGCGTTATCACACTGGAAGTGTTTTATTACAAAATTCTGTTAGTATGCTTAAACTTGAATTAGTGAAATCAATGAAATCTTAAGAGTAGATTGGTTATTTTTCATATAGAAATAAGTTTAGAATTATAAAAATATAGCTAGGCCCATATTAAATACCTTTTCCAGAAGTATGTGTATCATATGCCACTTTGAGCCGTTGTAAGCATGTTGTATTAAACAATTATTTTAGAACATTAAATACCATTTCTGCAGTATAATCTTTGCCTTGGACATTTTACGAAGAAAATGTAGCTGTTTTCAATCAGAATCCGAATAGAAAAGATTGAGTCATTACTGAATTCATATGTGTATGTGGGTTTTTTTTCCACTTTCTTCAAACGCCCAACCCGTATTATAAAATACCTCAAAACTAATTAGTTCCGTTCTTAACAATTGTCCATGGTCAGAAAGTTCATATAAACTGTTTTTTGCATTTTTTTATACTTTGTGCTGCTATCTGTACTCCGGTTTCCAAAAAAAAAGTAACCTTTTAACTAATAGTCTGTTGGGTTTTGGATCTCTTTTCAATTTGCCAATCTTTCAAGTAAAGCCCTCCATTGCATCATCATGACTGTGGCTGAGTCATTAAGGATGAGTTCTGAGCCAAGCTTACCTTGTTGGGGGTTAGGCTCGCCCTGTGAACCATGCCACATCCTGATCTGAAGTCACAGCAGTTTATGTTTCTGCCCCCAAGGGTCCTTTTCACTCGTCCACTTGCACCCTTTTTTTTTAAAGATTTTATTTATTTATTTGAGACAGAGAGAATGAGAGACAGAGAGCATGAGAGGGGGGAGGGTCAGAGGGAGAAGCAGACTCCCCGCCGAGCAGGGAGCCCGATGCGGGACTCGATCCCGGGCCTCCAGGATCATGACCTGAGCCGAAGGCAGTCGCCCAACCAACTGAGCCACCCAGGCGCCCCACTTGCACCCTTTTAAGCACTTCCCACAGGGGCCATTTTATGGAAACGCACTCACTTTCCATGTAAGAGCTTTAATAAATGCCAAATCAAACCTCCATACAGGGCGACAGAGATACGCAACACACCAAAGCCACACCGTGCCCAAGAAGGCACACGGGCCACTGTGCTCGTTCGATCACTTTTTCAACAGGTATTTATTGAACTACATGGGCGTAGTATGCTTTTTTTTTAAGATTTTATTTATTTGAGAGAGAGCAGTGGGGAGGAGCAGAGAAGAGAGGGAGAAGCAGGCTCCCCGCAGAGCAGGGAGCCTGACGCAGGACCCTATGCCAGGACCCTGAGATCACCACCCGAGCCGAAGGCAGACGCCCAACCGACTGAGCCACCCAGGGTGCCCCTATTTTTGCTTTTTTAACACGCATAGTTCATTTAATCAGAACAATTCTGGGACACAGTGAATATCATAACCTCATCCTGAAGATGTGAGAAATGTAGAATTAAGTAACTTGCCAAAAGCCATACGACTTGAAAGTGACAAGAGCAGGCTTTACCCCGGTCTCTAAGCTCCCCGTCTTCACTCCTGACGGAAAGGGGAGGGGAAATGGGATGAACTGCTACACAAACCCAGTATTTAAATTAAGTCGGCACATCTGTGTTGCAAAAGCCACTCCTTTAACTCCTCTCTTTAGTCCTACCACGCTGTCCTCGGAGATGTGGTTTGTTCGATTTTCTTCGGACCCTGTGTTTCCCCTCACTGATGCACAGCTAACATGTTTGCGGTTCCCAACAGAGCTTTTCTGTCCTTTCACCCCCCCGCCTCCTCTCCCTAAATTCTTCAGGAGCTAGAATGCTTCAGTACAATCTAAACATTACCTTCACCAGCACAGCTCTGAAATAAAAAACTTGGCTTTAAACACACACCCATAAAATCCTGCCCCCACACTGGCCTGTAGCACCGAACCTCCCTTGTGGCTTTCGGTTCATTTGTATCCCTAGAAGAGATATTTATATATATATATATTATATATATAGTATATATTTTTATACTTATATTTATTTTACTATTTTATAAATTACATATTTATTTTATATATTATATATTACATATTATATATGTATCTATATAATATACATATAATTTTTTTAGTAACAAACTTGTTTATTTCCTCTTCTTCCCATTGAACATCTCCAAATAATGTGATTTTCCTTTTTAAGTCTTTCACGCTGTTCAGAGATCACTGGGGCAACTTACATGCCTTGAAAAATGGTAAGTCTCTCCATTACCCAGCTTGGTTGTGCACTCAGGGCCCGAGAGACACACCAGAACTCAGCCATAGGCTGTGAGCGAGGCAGGTGCCACGCAGGCTCTGGGACCTTCCTCGACTGCCTCCAAAGTCAGCCGCGACCCGCATCTCCAGCCAGGCTCGTGCTGACCCTCCAGCCCAGAATCTGCCGCTTCCTGTTTCGGAAAAGCCTCAGCAGCTCTTTAAGGCGGACGTGCCAGGCAATGTCTTGGCCCCATTAGCCCTTCCTGAGCGGTCACTGAGAATCACAGTGGTGACAAACAGGTGTAAGAAACTGGAAGTCGTCGCGACACAGCCAGTAACCTGTCCATTCAACCCCAACATCTTTTGAGGAACAGTCTCAGATTGCCCCCACGCTGTTCACAAGACACCACTTCTTATACACCTTCTGTTTAATGTATGAAGGAAAAGAAACAAGGAATGGGGACAAAGAATGCCACGTCTGAATGATCACGGAGGCTCCAATACAAATACTTGATCCCTTGGTGCTAAATACTCCCCATGCTCTATAAATATATAAAATATATACAAATCCTGTAAATAACCTGTTTATTTTTTTTATAGAAAGCCACAACAGAAAATGATTAGAACATTTACATCCGTACAATCAGCAAATTCTCCAAATTCATGTTTTAAAAATAGTTTTGAGTGTGAATTAGAGGAAGGCCTTGAGGGGGGATCATTTTGTGAACAGTTCACTTTTATAATAACTCAAGACAGCTCATAGCAGTGCTCTTTTCAGACATAAGCATTTTTATCAAACTGTTTTGAAGGATTTGTGGTTTTAAAACCTCCTTCGGCGCCATGATACTTTGTCCGAGAAGACAGGACAGACGTGGCCCCATTGTATGCGTATCCCATTCTGCAAGGCAAAACACAGTCTGGTAGGTCCTACTGCACACAGAGGGCAGAAACCATTACCCCCTGCTTCTGTCCCAGCAAAGCTGCAGACTTTCCCTGCTTACTGCTGGTGAGCTTCTCTCTCTCCTTCTCTCTCACCACCACCCCGCCCCCGCAAATATCTCCCTGTCATTTCTGAACAGTGTGTCAGTGCGAATCTCAGCAGAAGAAACTCGTGGCTTGTTCATCATCTGTTCAGTTTTTCTCTTTTAAAACTCATCTTCCTGGACCCTGGCGGACAGTACTGACCTTCATCAGGAATCTCTGCCTATGTGAAAACGATGAGGCCACAGTGAAGAATATGCCCCACGGTAAGCCCTATCGTTTTGCTCACAGAAATGGCTCTGGAAGGTAAGAAGGATGAGCTCTGACTTTTTAAATTAACTTAACTACATATTTATTCTCTTCACTGTATTTATCTTATTTAATAGTACATTCACTATATATCCCTAACTTCAATCAATCCTAGTTTTTTGATGTTTCTAAGAATCGTGTGAACAATCTATAATTTGCCACACCTGTAATAATTTTAACAGGTCATCTTTGTCTCTTTTTCATACCTGGGAGGTTTGTTGTTGTCAGATATTGAAAAGCAAAATACGACACCGCCAATTATGCAGAGTGAGGCTCCTGCCCATCCAATAAACAGAGCAGCTCCTAATTCGTACCTGTGAGGAAGTATTGCACAAGTATTATGGCTGAATTATTTGGGGCATAAACAGTATTTAAGGCTAACGAGCCAACATTTACTAAATGCTCATCATAAACGTTTGCTACTGGAGCTTTTACAGGAAGTAATAACACCTTGTATCTGTATAACGCTTTAAACTTTACTCAACGTGTTTTTCTAGCCATCTCTTGATTATGTCTCCCCGACTTCCCAAAAGGAAGAAGTGATCCCTGCAGGTAAATCAGAGGCAAAGCCGGGTGAGGAGCCCTGGCCTCCTGGCTCAGCCGGTATTCCTCCTCTGGGCCTGTCTGAAGCTCACAGAGCGTTCCATCTATTTAGTCCACTGCACAGGGTAAATTATTCAGCAGACTCCAGTTAGAAAATGGCAGGTTGCCTTTGCTTTCAGTTTAATTAAATTCAATAAACATTTATTTGCAAATCATGAACAAGGTGTTGAAGGATGGCAGAATATGCCACCCCCAAAAAGTCCACTGGGGCATGAGAATTATTTTGAGCTAAAGGCAACAACGGAGAAGCAAATACCAGAAAAGCTCTCTGCCCCTCCCCATTTGCCTTAAAGCAGGACATCAATTTGTAAAGATGTCCCCCATCCCTCCCACCCCACCGACGAGGAAGGACAGAAGTTAATCACCAGAGACAACAGTACACCCGGGGGGGCACACAAAGGGCACCAGGGGGATCTTCGTAACAAACTTGACAAACCAGCCATATCTTCCATTAGTTCCCCATAGATCTGCCACCCCAGAGGCTCAAAGTCCTTTTCTCTGGTCTTGTCACCTTTCTCTGAGCTTATTGTTCTTTTATTCAGATGCCATATAAGCCCAAGTTCTAACCGGCACTTTGAGTTACTCATCACTGGGTACTCCTACGTGTCTCCACGATGCACATGTTAACCAGCTCTTTTTTTCTCCTGTTAATCTTTTTTTTTTTAAAGATTTTATTTATTTATTTGACAGAGAGAGAGAGCACAAGTAGGCAGAGCAGCAGCAGAGGGAGAAGCAGGCTCCCCACTGAGCAGGGAGCCCGATGCGGGGCTCGATCCCAGGACCCTGGGATCATGACCTGAGCCGAAGGCTGACATTTAACCGACTGAGCTACCCAGGCGCCCCAATCTGTCTTTTGTCAGTCTAATTTATAGGGCCCCCGCTGAGAACCCAGGAAAGTAGAGGGGGGGAAATTTAAGTTTTTCTTCCTCTACAAGCCCATAAAAAGTCAGTGCTAGATAAAGTGCTACCTCGCTTGTCACCATAATCTAGTGGGAAATAAATACAAAATAACAGCATTTAGTGATAGATTGCCATCTGGCTGGCCACAGTACTCTGCTGATGCCTCAAGCAGATGCAAAGTTCCACAAGATACACAAGACAGCTCCTACCTTGGGGAGGTCCCCACACAAAGGTACAAATAATGCTATGGAGAACGAAAAAGGAAATCACTTTTTGCCATGGAGGACTAGAGGAAATCCTTTCAGGGGAGGAGTACTCACCCAGAAAAACAAATAAGGAATTACAAAAGTATACCAAAATGTTAGGGTTGTGTGTTTTCATGTTTGCCTATCCTTCTTTTGAAGAATAGGGGGGTTTTTTGTTTTTTTTTTTTAAATAAAGAAGTGATTCTCAAGACTTTTTTGCCCATAGATTTCCACCGCAAGGCAAAGACTGATGGACGCTACCCCAACCTAATGGGGAAAAAATGAAGTCCAAGTGGGAGGGGTCTCTTTTGGTCATGCAGAATCCACAGAAGAGCTGAGACAGGAGAGTCAGAGGGGAGGGTGACAAGGGGCAAGGCAAGGCCAAGGTGGGCTCCCCGCAGGCGCCGGGGCAGGCTTAGGTCTTGAGGCCAGACTGCACTGTTGAGAGCAGCAGGCACGTCCTGCCTGGGCCTGTCCCGAGTTTTGCCTCGTCTGTTTCTATGTGCCGTGTCACTGGCTGAAGTCCTGGCCGGGCATGGGTAGGCTCTCCGGTGTGACGTGAGTCACAGCAGTAATGGAGGAGTGGCCCCGACCGCCAGCTGGGGGAAGCCAGAAGCAACACTCACAGATTAGGAACGTATGATCCACTCGCTTATTTGCGTATCTGGCTACGGTGGTAATTTCATAGCCTGCGTTCACAATTGGGAAGAGGCGATGCACAAGATGCATGCTGCCCTGGGGTCCCTTCTTTTCTCACTCTTGTGTTGCCTTTTCTGGGAAACCCAGGTGGTCGGTAAAGCAAGGAACAGCCATAGCAGAACAACTAGGGGTAAGCACTTCATCCTGCGCTAGAGCACTATGTTCTGGAAACCAAGAAAGTCTCCAAGTGCTCCCATCAGAAGCAATGGCAGAAACAGAAGATTGCTGCAATGTGGAACAAAACACCTTCAGTCTGCACACAAAAGCTGACCCCAAAGGACTCAGGAGCGAGGTGCACCAATGAAAAAGAACTGGCCAGACCAAGAGGGTGAAATTCACAGTTTTGTAAAAAATGCCTTCGTTAAATGTCATGCCATACATCTAAAAAAGGATATCCTGAATTTCCACAATCAGCCCTTTTATGATGTTTGAACGCCATCATGCACATAAAACAGAGTGCCTCCCAGGTGTTAGGTGCAGGCTCTTTAAAACATCTGCAAGTCCTAGGGAGCCCGGGTGGCGCAGTCGGTTGAGTGTCCGACTCTTGGTTTCAGCTCAGGTCATGGTTTCAAGGTCATGAGACTGAGCCCCACGTCAGGCTTTGCGTTCGAAGTGGAGTCTGCTTGAGACTCTTTCCCTCTCTCTCCCTCCCCTTCTGCCCCCCCAGTGCGTGCACGCGCTCTCTCTCTCAAAATAAATAAATAAATAAAATCTTAAAAGAAAACAAAGAAACAAAAATCTGGAAGTCCTACAGTAGTAAGCACCAAATGCCCACGGTCATGCTGTCACGGCAAACACAGCTGAAAGTGAGCACATTGAACATTTCTACTTGGAGGACATTATCGTGGGATTACTGTTTAGTGACACTTCCTGTTTTTTCTCTATTTTTGTCCTCCTAGGTTCAGGTTGTCTTCATTCCTAAAACTATGCCTTAGTATTACTCTTCGTGTAAATACCCCCTGAAGCAACAGTCTGAGGTTTTTCTTAAAAAATATTTAGCTTTCTAAAATAGGATTCCAGTGCTGGATACTACGGTTGATTAAAAATAAGCTTCTAATTATTAATAGTGGTCAATCAAGGGTGACAGTGATAGGAATCATAAACTGCTGCTCGGCACCGTGAATTCACTCAAAGGAGCATGCAAACATGTATATGGTGTTGTCACAAACCAGAGGATAAATTACTCAGGCAGGCCAAATGTTGGGACGTGTGTCTTTATATTCATTTAAGCTCATCTGGAAACTTCCTGAAGAATCATGGGTTTATCTTATGTTAAAAACTGGTTTGTGTATTCCTATTTTTAAATATATTTTCATTTTTATTTTTTATTTTAATTTATTTTTTAAAGATATTTATTCATTTGAGACACAGAGATACAGAGAGAGAGAGAGAGATCATGAACAGGGAGAGAGGCAGAGGGAAAGGGAGAAGCAGGGTTCCCGCTAAGCAGGGAGCCCGATGTGGGGCTGGATCCCAGGACCCTGGGATCATGACCTGAGCTGAAGGCAGATGCTTAACCATCTGAACCACCCAGGCGCCCTCATTTTTCTTTAAGTCAGTAAATATAGACTCTATTCCAAGAAAAATATCATTTCCATTTGAGTTCCTTGTGAATTCTGTCAGAGACAAACAATAAATAATGTCAACTTAGAGCTGAAGTCTTCAAGAGACTCCATGTCTACACCAGTAATTTTTAAGAAGCTGGCTTTTGTGACTTGGTTCTTTCTTTTGCAGAGACTTTCCTTCTTCATTCTGTGGAAAGACACGTAGAGCTAACTTACTCAGCAGGGACTCGAATTCACACCTATCAGTGTGCGTGATCTGGCAAAAACTGGTTAGTATTAGTGAAAGATGGGATTGAGAGAGAGCATTATAATCCACTCAAATTTGTTCCAAAGCATGCCTCCTTTGACACTCACTGGGAAGCTTAGTCTCTGCTTCATTTTTTTGGTAATTGTTCTTCATTTTTTTGGTAATGCTAAGAAGCTGACTTCAACACCTCAGAAGATCACCAAATTTCAGATGTTCTGTTGCAGGTCTTCCTTTCGTTAACAATATCTCCTGGCACCAGACAACCTTCCCCACTCAGAGCATGCCCTCTTTACTGACTTGTTATGATCACCGATGGGTTTCCATTATTCTGAAAAGCTATAAATCTGCTTAGCACCAGACAGATCCGTGATTGTCAGGGTGAGGACAGAATTTTGTTTCATGGATCAAAACATTGTTTCTAGAGTACCTCAAATAATCCGCTCAGTTGATAGCACTAATCAAAAGCTGCCTGACTTCAATTCATTTATGTCATTGAATGTAAATTTAGTAAATTGGCGAAAACTTTACTTCTAATCAGAGAAATGAAAACACAGATTAATTGCTTAAAAGTTCCCCCAAAAAGAACCATAAAGATCCAACGCATTCAAATGTCCTCTGCACTACTGGGTGAAATTATTCTCACCCACCTGGCTGTGTCTAGGGGCCTAGAGAACTAGTACCACACCAGGAGGCCTTAATTCTGATCATCTCACACTTAGACTCATATTTCAGCCCTGTAACCTTCACGGTAATCTGAAGGCATGGATTGGAGAATACCTCTCATTTGCACCTCCTCTTTTGTCTTCCTTGCATCCAAACCCCTGTCATGACTTATTTGCCATCCACGGGGAGCTTATGTGGCCTACCCGGGTCACCACCCCAGAAACGACATGCCAAGCATTGTGCTCAAGGTGGACGAGAGAGACACAGCTATGCTCTCAAGGATCTCAGAGTCTAGCGGGGATCGGCAGATACTAAGCAAGCACGTTTCTGCCCAGTAAACACTATCTGTTCTCCCAGATCCACAGAGACGTGGTTCAAGTAAATGCCCACAA